ATGAAGCAGATAATGAAGGTCGTACACCACTACATGCTGCTTGTATGCAGGATAATGAAGAAATTGTTGATCTTTTGATTAAAAATAAAGGTGATTTCTTTAAAGTGACCAACAATGGAGGAACTCCACTTTGTTTGGCTTGCTTTTATGGTCGTGATAAAATTGTCAGCACTTTATTGTCATTGTGTTCTGATGAAGATAGAAAGAGAATGTTTGATGTATCAGTAGGAGATGGAGGCAAGGCACCACTTCGTATTGCTTATGAATGGAATCACACTAAAGTTGCTAATATCCTACTAAAGCATGGAGCTGATCCAAATATATTTAAAAGAGGTTCTACTGATGATGAGAAAGGCTCTCCTTACCAGATGCAAAGTTTATTGGCAAACATTGACATGACCATGTTACAAATTGCTGCTAAATTTGGTATTGTGAATGTCGTGAAAGTATTGCTTGAAGGAATTCCACTGGATGATGATGATACTGACTCTCGAATGGAGTGTGCTGTCTATCACTCTGATGCTGATAGAAAAAGAGACATAGTAATCATTATTACTTGTTATTTTGCCATTTTTATTTTATTTATTAATTAATTTATTTATTTATTATGCAGTCTACTTCACTTCTTCTCGCTTGTAAAGAAGGACACGTTCAAGTAGTTAAACTACTCCTGGAACACAATGCTGATGTTAGTCACACAGATACTGATGGTGTAAGAAGCATAGCAATTATTTATATTTATTTATTTATTATTATTGTTGTTGTTGTTGTTGTCTTTTTAATTAATAGTAATGTATGTACTTGTTATATTTTGCTATTATAATAATTATGTGCATGTAAAAATATTATTATTATTATTTTTTTTTTTAATTGTTATTATTTTTATTTTTATTATTGTTATTCTATAGGATACAGCACTTCATATTGCCAGCAAGAAAGGACATTCACAAGTTGTTAAAGTACTACTGGATCATGACCGTGCTTCATTCATTAATGACACTGATTCTTGTAAAGTAAGAAGCATGAGTAGTATTTATTATTTATTGTTGTTAGTATTATTACTATTATTATTATTAATAATTGAAACAGGGCAAAAAAAGTTAAAATAAAAAAAGGAAGGAAAATTAAACTGTATAATACATTTAGTGTAGTTAAGGTAGAACAGTTTGAGAAATAGTTAAAATAATATCAATGTAGCCAGTGAAAGTGAGAATTAATAAGTCCACCACCATCTTCAAATTTCAATCCTCTCCACTTAGAATGAAAACCACACACTCATAAGAGAGGGCCATTTTATATCTCACCCAATAAAGTACAGTATTATAGCTAAGGTCCCACTTCATAGGTAGTCTAACTGATAGATGTATAATAAACCAGACATTATTATTATTATCATTATTATTATTATTGTTGTTGTTGTTGTTGTTGTTGTTTAGCGTACTCCACTTTTCATTGCATGTGAGGAAGGTCATGTTCAAGTAGTTAAAGTATTGCTGGAGTATGATGCTGATGCCACTGTAGCTGATCAGGATGGTCTTAATCCTCTTGATATTGCTGTAGAGGAAGGACACAGGTGAGGATTATTGATTAATTCTGATGCTTGATTCTGTTTACGTTGTATTAAATATTTCAATCAAATTTGGATTTTTATAAATTTTTAAAGCTGTTCGAAAATTGGACCAAAGTCCCTACTATGGTCATTGGTCAAATTTTGTCAAAATTGAAAAGGAGAGAATTCTCCATTTTTTATATTTTTATCTGATGCATATACATGTTCTTATGTTGTTTA